CCCCAAAACCCCAAAACCCCAAAACCCCAGCATTTAAGAATCTGATTGAAATATCTTTATCTTATTTTTACCCACAATTTTTTTCAGCTGTCTTTACTTTATCTAAAGATGCCTCATAAATCCATAATTCGACATTACTAAAGCATGAAGTAGAAAGGGCATTAAACAGGTGCTGATATTGTTTATTCTCTATCCGAGTGGCTCCGATTATGACATTAATACGAGTGATATTTGATTTCTCCAAGAGTGAGGTCAGAATAGCTAATGTGGCTTCATCATTAATTCTATAGCCAATGAATTCAAGCTCTTCTAAATTAAATATCTCTAAAACTTGAAATAGCTCATGCTCGTTTTCTTCATGAATATGGCTTCTTATATAGGGCATTTCTATTTCAACCCAAAACTTGGGAGTCTTGTGGAAGACTTGTAGCTTCTCATAAGCGTCAGAATCCTCTAAGACTGAAGAGGGAATCTTTAGTCTCAATTGTGACAATTTCTGAAATGAAATTTTAGAAAGTTCAGAATTTGTATCAAAATCTAATCTGAGAGTTTTGAGTTCTTGCAAGAGAATGAAAACGGAGAGATCTTCAGTAAGAAGCTTTGATTCCTCGAGATCAGTTGGAGAGGCTTCTTCAATTCCTTCACATTCAAGACAAAATTCTTTGGATATTATGAAGCCCTGGTCTATTGTGAATTTTTGATAGATTTTTCTTGAAAAATTTGTGAGTTTCATGGCCTTCCTTCTGAGTCCTATATGGGATAAATAAAATATCTTTGCTGGTAAAATGTGGACGCTATTTAAAGTTTATTATGAACAGAGGCTCCTTAAGAGATGGTTGTGTCATATCTCAAGGAGGAAATAATTAGGAATTACTATGATTTGTTTGAAAATTTAATCCGAATTCATTTATCTAGCAAAGCAGATCCTTAATTAATTGTATATTTCATACCATGTTCATCTTGAACGCCTGAATAGCAACCTTCTCCTGTGATATTTTTGTTATCCCCATGGGTTCAATTTGCCGTTAAACCCTTGGGGTTTTGGGGTTTTGGGGTTTTGGGG